CTGGGCTTCGTGTGGGTTCAGGGTTACTAACCCACCTCACTCACAGGTGACGCTCTGACCTGCCCAGAGGTGCACAGCTCGAGCGCTGGTCAGGACACAGTGCAGGCTGTCTGTGTCGCCCACCTGGCTTCATTTTACCTCACGGTGGGAGCCTGGCTATTACTGTCCTGACCCCTGTCTGAGGTCTCCATGCTAGCTCCTCGGTTGCCAGGGTTAACTTCAACGTGTGATCTTTTTCTTTCCTCCTACAAAAGGCAATAGAGAGAAAAGCCTTTGCCGTTTCTCTAGACTTTGCTCGAGACTTAAGACTTAGTTTCACCCTTGGTGGACTTAAAAATCACAAACCGTCCTACCAGTCTTCTTCACTTGCGTGACAGAAATACCGAAGATCGAGTGTGTTGGACACGGAAGTTTCTCCCTGGTAGTGACCTAGATCAAGGTGTTGGCAAGAGAAGGTTTCACTGTGAAGCTCTTGTCAGTCTCTGTCACTTCTCAGTGTGCTTACCACCCCCTCCACAGCAGAAGGGACAGTGTGCAAGGTCTCTGGTGTCTCTTTCTGTTGGGCCAGAGGCTCATACTTAGGGTCTCATTTAGTCTTAATTACTTCTTTAAACGTCTAATCCCAAGCACAGCCCACTGGAGACTAGTGATTTGGCATTGGAAGTTGGTAACATACAGCCATTCAGTTCACAGACAGCTGGATTCTCCTTTTAGAGTGAATATCAAATGAACTAGTACCTGGTCGTCAACTTCTGGTGGTTTAATCAGTGTCAGTGTTTTGGGAATTGTACTAATCGCTTCCTCTTTGTCCTTTTTTTTTTTTTTTTGGTTTTTTGAGACAGGGTTTCTCTGTGGCTTTGGAGGCTGTCCTGGAACTCACTTTGTAGACCAGGCTGGTCTCGAACTCACAGAGATCCACCTGCCTCTGCCTCCCAAGTGCTGGGATTAAAGGCGTGCGCCACCAACGCCCGGCTCTCTTTGTCCTTTTACGATATTAGAGTTATTGTGTTCTTTTATTTAGACCTGTTTTCAGGTCTCTGCCAAGCCCCAGGGGAACTTTCACTGCATTTGGATTTTGCTGTTTTATTGACCATTTTTACTTTAACGCAGTGTTTAGTATACTTTAACACGGCTTTGTCTTACATGATATTCTGCGTGTGGCTGGTAGCTTTATGCCTGTATAAAATGTATGTATGTATCCACTGTCTACTGGGGCCCACTTGTGGGAGTCACTGGCTGCTGTTGGATACAGCCATGGTAATTAATATACTAGCAGGTAGTATGCTAGCAGAACAACATCCGTAAGGAGGATGCTACTGAGCAGGTAGGGGGCAAGGAAGGCAGCCCACTCACACAGCAGGGAAGCTTACTGTGTTGCCAGCGGTAACCTGTTATGGACATCGTGGATTAGTGTTAAGCTAGGTTATGCTTTTTGGCCTTGGTATTTCCAGTGATAAGCTTTGCTGGAGAGATCTCTTACTCGGCAAGTTGCTTGTTTGACGAGAACTGCCAGTCAGATGCTCCTGCGGGATGCCAGCCTACCCCGGGGGGGGGGGGTGTGTGGACCACTTTAAAGCTCTGCATTGTCTCTGTAGTTACTTCCAGACGGTTTTTATCAGATCGACTGGGGGAATTATTTCCCAGCTCTGATTAGACTGAGTGAGGGATGCTTTTGTGGGGGAAGGTGCAGGTCCTCAATTTAAGAGAGAGCGGGTGGGGAGGCAAAGGGGTGGGGAGGGAAGAGGCAGAACCAGCAAATGGAGGTGGGCGGCGCAGACGCAGCCCCCCCAAGCTGCCCTGCCATTGGACCTTCTCCATCACTGACTGCGAGGTAATCGATGCCATTGTAGCGGGAAGGAAAAACCATCACTGGAGCTGAAATGGAGAACTAGGCCGCGTAGAGGGGTGTGGGCTGCCAGACGTGCTGGCTGTGACTCTCCGTTCTCCCGCCCACTCTCTGTGGCCATGGCAGGTTCCTGGGCCTCAGCTTTCTTACATTGGAAATAGAAATAGTAATTAGTTTGTAGAGTTAAGCAGCCTACCTTTGCAAGACTGTTGGGAACCCACAAGGAAACTTTGGGGTACAAAAGCTAGGGCTTACACCAGAATCCCTTTTTAGCTTTCTGTTGAGCATATCCACATGGCCCAGAGAGGCCTGGTGTTCTATGAAATTAAGCAAAGTAAATTAGCAACTCTGGTTGTACTTAGCTAGTGATTAAATAACAGTTTAGTTAATAGGCTGTTAATGGTCCCCAGGTGTTGGTAATTCTGGGTATTTGCTTTTGAGAGCAGTTGTATAATTTCTTCTGGTACTTAGATTTTCTTTAACAGAAAAATTGAAGTGTAATGGATGTTGGTCTCAGAGCGATTTAGGGGAAGGTGAGACGATATTCTGTAACTAAAGCACTTGTATGCAGTCTAACCCACAATAAGAACTCAGGAAAACTTATCTGTTCCTATCGGGGCTCAACTGGCCACCCTTAAGGCCGACCTCTTTGTGAACCTCTTTGTGAATTTGACGCACTCTTACCCCCAATCCATCTCTTTCCGTCACCACCCGGTGGCAGCCGGTGGTACTGCACACAAGACAAGGAGAATTTTTTTTTTTTTTTTTTTTAATAACAGGGACCCCGTCTGGCTAGCAGCCCTTAGAGGGAGTGAAGTTCCCTGTCTCCTGCTAGGTTTTATTATTATTTTTATTTTTTTTATATTTTATTTATTGTGTATACAGTCTTCTGCCTGCATGCCAGTGGAGGGCACCAGATCTCATTGTGAGCCACCATGTGGTTGCTGGGAATTGAACTCAGGACCTCTGGAAGAGCAGTCAGTGCTCTTAACCGCTGAGCCATCTCTCCAGCCCGACAAGGAGAATTTTTAAAGTGCCTGACAGTTTCATTTCTACCAAGTGTCACGGAGACTGAGGTTCAGAGTGTGTTCTGTCTGCCTGAAGCTCGGGAGCAGAGAACGTTAAGCAATGAAAGGACGGTTTCCACCTCCAGGTTTGGGTAGAATTAGAATGTTACCAACAAGAGCAGGGGAAGCAGACAGACAGACAGACACACTGGTGTGCCATGAATCGGATGTGAGTCAGCCACACCGTGTAAAAAGACTTTGAAGAAATAGTCAAGGTAAGAGAAATATTTTAGAAAGTAAGCATATACAAATATAGGCTACATATAAAATAGCTTTATACCTAACAGAAAAAGTAGGGAGTGAAACCCTTTTCATTTGTGAATTAGTAATCTTATTTGAGCTGGAGAGATGGCTCAGAGGTTAAGAGCACTGGCTGCTCTTACAAAGGTCCTGAGTTCAATTCCCAGCAACCACATGGTGGCTCACAACCATCTGCAATGAGGTCTGCTGCCCTCTTCTGGCCTGCAGGCAGACATGCAGGCAGAATACTGTATAAGTAATAAATAAATACAATCTTAAAAAAAAAAAAGAAAGATTTCCATAGTGACTGTACGAGTTTGCACTCCCACCAGCAGTGGAGGAGTGTTCCCCTTTCTCCACATTCTCTCCAGCGTAAACTGTCGTTGGTGTTTTTGATTTTAGCCATTCTGATAGGAGTGAGATGGTATCTCAGACTTGTTTTGATTTGCATTTCCCTGATTGCTAGGGATGCTGAGCACTTTCTCAAGTGTCTCTCAGCCATTTTAGACTCCTACTCTATTTAGTTCTGTAGACCACTTTTTAATTGGATCCTTTGGGATTGGGTGGGGAGCTGGTGGGGGGAGTGGGCGTGGAGGGGAGGGAGAGGGAGCTGGGACTGACATGGGAAGTAAGCTTGTTTCTAATTTAAATACATAATAAAAAGTGTTAAAAAAAAGAAAAAAAGAGAGAAATGTGAGCCCTGAGTGCCGCCATCCTTAAAAGAATGAGGCCGGGGAATGGGGAAAGTAGACATACCATGTCTCCTGAGGCAGAGGCGCTGGTGTGGGGAACTCAGAATTGGCTCTGGGAGCTATCTGTTTTTTAAAGAACACCTACTGTGCGCACTGACTCTACAGTAAACCACAGACAGTTGTACATGGGTGCGTTTTAAGATAGAGATGATATGGAAGAAGGCAGCTGTGCAGGACCTGTGTTCGCAAACTTTATAGTTTGGGCAACGCTGGATTATAGCGAGTAGACGTTGATGAAGGTGAAGAATTAATTTTGACGTGGGGGGGCAGTGAGCCCTGATTGGGTGCCACTGTGGACTACTAGAGTCATATAATCAAAGCGTAGGCTTCAAAGTTCAAGGGAGCCAGGGCCACATCCCTGAAAAAAGAATGGCTCCTTATTTAGCTTTGCTTTCCGAGGCAAACCTGCTTTTGACACATCTTTAGTTGTCTTTGTAAGTCTGGTACTCTGTGTGCCCAGTGTGGCAGTGAAGAGAGGAATCTGGTTGGGGAGGGCCTAAGACAGACAGACAGACAGACAGACAGACAGACAGACACACACACACACACACACACACACACACACACACTCACTCACTCACTCACTCACCCGGTAGTATTCTTTCTAAGCCTGGTTTTGGGTGAGGCGTGGAGCATTGTGAAGGCCTTCATAAGATTCTTTTGCCCTCATATAAAGGCCCAGTTTTGAGACTTGCTGCTGGTCTGGTCTGGTCTGATCCAGTCTCAGTCTGATACAGCAACAGGATACGCCTCAGCAGGTGTCATGGGTGTGAGTAGCTGGCTTAAAATTTGATTTTTATAGGATGGTTTTAAGATTTAAAAAGTGTGTGTGTGTGTCTGTGTCTGTGTGTGTGTCTGTGTGTATGTGTCTGTGTGTCTGTGTCTGTGTGTGTGCGTGCCCCTGTATAGGCCAGAAGAGGGCAGGGCACTGGATCACTGAAAGCTGGAGTTATAGTTGGTTGTGAACTGCTCTATAACCCTGCTGAGTGCTGAGAACTGAACTCTGATCCTCTGGAAGAGCAACAAGATCTCTTAACTACATAGCCACCTCTCCAGCCCCCATAATGTGATATATATTTTCTTAAAGTCACAGGCTACATGAGATCCAGTAATAAAAAAAGAAAAGAAAAAAAAGCCACAGCCTTACCCCCTACATTTTTATTATGGAACATTTCAAACACACAAATGACTGAGAAAACAATGCAGTGAACTTGGTGTGTCTGCCACTCTTGGTGTTTGGATGACCTCACTTCTAGCCATCAGCCGACTGCTTTGAAGTTGGCTCCCAGTTCCTTTGATGAGAAGCGGGCAGTTTTAAATGGACTGCATCATCAGAATCCTGATGCTTGTTCATTACGCTGAAAGATCAGAGGCGTGGAGAACATAAAGGGGCCAGGGCTGTGTTGGTCCTTTCCAGCAGGGGCTGTTCCTGTGCTCACTCTGTTCCCGCAGCTGCTGTGTCCAGTGTGTTTGCCATCACTGTTACGTGAGGGATTCCTCTCATAGGAAACGTCTTGTGAGCAGAAGATGTGGGAAATGTAGGTTTCATGTACATCAGATCAGTAAGGCATTTACGAAATACTCAGAACCGCAGAGGAGGGCAGGGTGACTTAAGGAGTCCTGGTTGAATAGTTTGAAACTGCCCAAAGCCCAAGAAATAGTCATAGAACAACACCAAGAACACCAGACTTCTGGGACAAAAGATCCCAGACTCCCCTGTGTCACTGTCTGCATGCCCTGGGCAATTCACTTTGTTTGTTTGTTTGTTTGTTTTTTGGTGTTTGGTTCCCTCAGTTATGGAGAGGAGCACTGAACTTTGTCTCTAAGTATCCAGACTCAATTCTGAAATTACAGAAATCATTTGCCCAAAACTGTACAGTCACTCCTTTTTTTCAAGACAGGGTTTCTCTGTGTAACAAACCTGGCTGTCCTGGAACTTGCTTTGTAGACCAGGCTGGCCTTGAACTCACAGAGATCCGCCTGCCTCTGCCTACTGAATGATGGGATTAAAGGAGTTGGCTACCACCAATTGACTCTGTATAATCGATGTTACAAGTGGCCCGCAGTTGCCAGGTGGTGGTGGTGCATGGGAGGCAGGGACAAGCAGATCCTTGACTTCAAGGCCGGCTTGGTCTACGTAGGGAATTCCAGGTCATCCAGGGCTGCACAGAGAAACCCTGTCTCAAAAAACCAATAAAGTAAATAAATAATAAATCGTGGCTCTCAAACCTGATAGGTCATAGACTTCACCTCTCTTTTTTTTTTTTTATTTCTTTTCTTTTTGAGACATGATCTCACACTGTAGCCTAGACTGGTCTAGAACTCACTATGCCCTCCAGCTCACAGCAGACCCTGGCCTCAGCTGCTGGAGTGGTAGCGGAGTTACAGGTGTAAGCGATCATGCTGGGCTTCCCCCTTTGAAGAAGGACCTGAGGCTGCCCAAGGTGCATCACCTAAGGCAAGGATACAAAACTAAAAACAACATATACCAGGACTGGAGAGATGGCTCAGTGGTGAAGAGCACTTGTTCCTGCAAAGGATCTGGGTTTGATTCCCAGCACCATGTGGCAGCTCATAAGTGTCTGTAATTCCAGTTCCAGGAGGTCCTCTTCCGACCTTTCTGGCCTCCAGGCGTGTGACTGGTACATAGACATATGTACAGACAAAACATACACATACATAAATCTAAAAATAATTAAAATAAAGATCATCTATCCAGGAGCAATTTCTTTGTGAGTCTGAAATCTTGGTAATGCTTTTATATAACTTGATCTGTTTGATTAGACAGTGGCCTCCTTCTACCTTCATCCGTGCCCTCCCCCCCCCAAAAAAAAAGGAAAAGAAAAAGAGTAAGTCTTTCATTTCCAAAGCTGCCTGACATTTGGGAGACTAACCAGATCCTTACATTAAGCAGAGATGAATTAGGAAATTAGAGTGATGATAAGTAGGTGTCCAGAGACTCCTGGGAAATGAACCTGGAGAACGCGAAATCCCATTCTCAGTAAAGTTCTGGATATTTTCCTGTGGCTCAGCGTTAATGAAAAAGAAGTTGCTTGCCCCGTTTAAAGAAGGGCACCAAGGTAGGGATTAAGCGTCAGTGAATTGTGAGCTCGTCATTGCTAGAAGTGGTAATTCTTGCTTCAAACTTGCCTTTGCAGGCTAGCTAACGACCAGGAGAAATAGAGTGGAAAATGCAAAACAACGAAATTATTAAACCGGCCAAATACTTCTCAGAGCTGGAGAAGAGCATCTTGCTTGCTTTAGTAGAAAAGTACAAGTATGTGTTGGAATGTAAGAAAAGCGATGCGCGAACTATTGCCCTCAAGCAGCGCACCTGGCAGGCACTGGCCCACGAATACAACTCTCAGCCCAGCGTGTCGCTGCGGGATTTCAAGCAGCTGAAGAAGTGCTGGGAGAACATCAAGGCTCGGACCAAAAAAATTATGGCCCATGAGAGGCGGGAGAAGGTGAAGCGCAGCGGGAGCCCACTACTGAGTAACCACGTCCTGGGCAAGGAAAAGATCGGCAGCATGCTGCCGGAGCAGCTGTACTTCCTGCAGAGCCCGCCTGAGGAGGAGCCCGAGTACCACCCGGATGCAGCTGTCCAAGGTACCCCTTCCCGTGCAGTGGGAACAGCCTGACCTTGGCGTTTGTTGTTAAGATCATTTATACACGAGTTCTCTATCTGCATGTACGACTTCACGCCAGAAGAGGGCATCAGATCCCACTATGGGGGCTTATGAGCCACCATGTGGTTGCTGGGAATTGAACTCAGGACTTTAGGAAGAGCAGCCAGTGCTGTTAACATTGAATTGTAAAATGTTCCATTTTTAGGAATCTTGTAAGAAATGTTGCTATAAGTCTGGGTTGTTACACAGGGCTTTCGGGATGGAAGTTTCGTTTTTTTATGCAGCCTCTCTTAGAGGTGATTGTTGCTTAACCATGAAGAACGCACATGCATCACGCTCATTAGTGAGGTACTTGGGTTGCTTAGCTCAAACTATGTCCGGTTTATTAAAGGAAACTGGATGGAGATTTCTGTTTGTTCATTCAGTCTTGTAAAAAGTTATTTTTTGAGGACCTACTGTGTAAGGTACTACTTTAAGTCACTCAAAAGGCCATACTAAATGAGTAAATTATTTCCAACTTAAAAACAAAAGTACAGAGGTTAGTAGCTGGAGAGATGGCTCAGAGGTTCAGAGCACTTGCTAGTCTTGCAGAGGACCAGAGTTCGGTTCCTAGCACCCACACTGGGCAGGGTACGACTGCCGTAGCTCCAGCCCTGGGGGTCAGTACCCCGTTCTGGTTTGTGCAGGCACCCTCATGCCCACATGCAGAACCGCATAAGGTTGTACACACACAAAGATAAATGAAAGAAATATGAATTTGTGTTTGTTTGTTTTTGAGACAGGGTTTCTCTGTGTAGCCCTGGCTGCCCTGGAACTCACTCTGTAGACCAGGCTGGCCTCGAACTCACAGAGATCTGCCTGCCTCTGCCTCCCGAGTGCTGGGATTAAAGACATGTGCCACCACGGCCTGGCTAGAAATACAGATCTTAAAAAAGTAATGCATCCAAAGCACAGAGGCTGAATAAAGCACAGCACCCTTTAGCACCCATTCGTATGCATACCAATGGGTTACTCCCTGTACAACGATTTACTCCCTGTAATGATCGTGATCCAAAGTTTTCATTTGTGGCATTCTAGGGGTCTAGAGAAATTCTAGGGACAAGAGTTAAATTTCATCATACTCCTGTTGCAAAGAGCAAACCGTTACACACAATTCTTAGGGAAGGAAGAGACTGTAGTCAGGGTTACTTGTGGCTTCAAGAGGCAGGCATCAAAGCGTGCCTCACGTCTCCAGGCAGACAGAGAGTGGAAATGTCTGTAGATTCATTTCCAACAGTTCCCACCTCTTTTAAGACAGGAAGTAGCCCCTTTACAGACAGGTCCATTGCAGTTTGCAGAAGGCACACTGTAAAGCAGAGAAAGGTTGGTGGGGTTGCTACAGGACTGCACGGAGGTGTTCCAAGGACCCAGCAAGTGCTTGCCTGGGAAAATCTGGCTCTTAGCTTGCAGAACACTGAATTCAGTGTCCCCAGAGAAGACAGAGCTCTGAGGGCCTGGCTTCTGTTAATTAGAAGTCGTAAGAAACTGTTAGAAACCAAGAATGCTGTGTAGAGTGAGAAAGGTAATTACCATGTGAGCCAAATACATGCTTTTGATTAACACTTTTTTCCCTGTGGGCAGATCATCCTAGGAAGCTAAATCGTGACACAAACTTTGCTTGCTAATCAGCTGATTAAGGTTAAGTCCAGGCTAGTAGGCAGGCCGGGTGACCACTGGGGTCAGTTGTCATGGGCCTTATGCATCATTTCCTGATACAGGAGACTTGTGTCTGGGTTTTGACTCAGGGTCTCACGCCGAGCTAACTCTTGGCAGATACAGTTTATGCGGGCACTGCCGGCCCTCGTACCCCTCCGCCTGCTCCTGCGGGTGTGTCGGCCCTTGTACCCCTCCGCGCTGCTCCTGCGGGGTGTGCACTTGCTTTGCTGACCTTTGTAGCTTCCCTGGCTTTTCTGTCTCTTTGGACGAAGAACTTCCTTCAGTGCAGCTGTAGGCGTGGTTCTGGGATGGGGGAAGGGCGTTAGCAGAACTGCTTTTCATGTGGTCGACTGGTCCCATGCTGTGCTGAGGAGGATACACGTGTGAATGCCACTTATTTAACAAATGTGTGTCCTAGATTGTTGCGTGTCCATTTTGTAGCTGTTCTTTTTACCTTTGGAGTTCTCCTTCTATCATGTGACCCTGGGGACTGAACCCAGGTTTCGGGCTTGGTGACAAGTAGCTTTATCCATGAGCCATCTCACCAGCTCTTGTAGGACTGTGTTTGAGGAACAAAAGATGCCTACCCCATCGTACCCCACTTTTAAAATCTGAGGTAGGAGCTAGAGATTTCGTCTCATGACTTTTTTTTCTTTCCTTTGGAAAAAATGCAATTCATTTATGCAAATAGAACTTTCAAACAATGAAATTAAATGTTTTTCTCTCCCTCCTGCATTTATTTCCCTCTTTCTTTCTGATTTAGTCTCATTATATAGCTCTGGCTGGTTTGGAACTCTTTATATAGGGCAGGCTGACAGTGAGCTAATACAGGGCCTACTGCCTCTGCTTCCCAAATACTTGAACTTTTATAAAAGTGTATGCCACTACACCTGGCCAAAACAGGGATTCCTGATGCTCTTTCCGTAGTGGCATTTGCTGGAGACTCATTTGTGAGACATTTTTAAAGATTTATTTGATTTTGCACACACACACACACACACACACACACGTTTGTATGTATATGCACCATGTGTGTGTGTGTGTGTGTGTGTGTGTGTGTGTGTGCATGACTTAGTGTTTGTATGTATGTGTGTATGTGTATGCACCACATGCGTGCAGGATACCCATGGAGTCCAGAGTAGGTGTCAGATCCCCTGGAACTGGAGTTACATGGGTTGTGAGCTGCCTGGTGTGGGTTCTGGGAACCAAACTCCAGTGCTTTCAAGAGCAGCGAGTGCTCTTATTACTAAGCCGTCTCTGCGCGTTATTTTAACTTAGATATCTGTGCATAGGTCACACTGGAGACTTCCCTTTCTGTGCTTATCTGAACACAGCCAAAACTCCTGTTTCCAATTGCAGACCTGAGAGAGCAGTCAGTTTGGGAGTATGCCCCAAGTAATGTTAGCACTCGCAGTTGAGGCACTGGAACTCTTTTTGCAATTCAAAATGGCTTTGGGGTTTCCACTCATTTTACGTTTCAGTTTATTTACTTTCAAGAAACCAGGGAGAAGGGTTGAGGAAGTGACTCTGAGTAGAGGGCGTGCCGTTCAGAGTCTGGCACCTAAATAGCCAGCTGTGACCCCAGTTCTGTAGGAGGTGGGGACTGGGGGTCCCTAGAGTCACCAGCCCAACTCCAGGGAGACACCCTGTCTCAAGAGAATAGGGCAGAGCGATGGAGCAGGACATCTGGTGTCGTCCTCTGGCCTAGAGGACGTGTGCACCTGCTCATCCCGCCAACTTCTCCCTCCTTCCCTCCCTCCCTCCTTGTCTCTGTCTCTCACACAAATGGCAATAAAATTAAACAAACGAAAGAAGGAGTGGGAGGAGGCTAGGATTATCGGTGATCATTTCTGGAAACTGGTGGGGGAAAGGTAGAAAATTTGGAACATCTTATATGGTTTTTCTTTTTCTTTATTATTATTATTATCATTATTATTATTTTTGGTTTTTCGAGACAGGGTTCTCTGTATTTCTTTGGAGGCTGTCCTGGAACTCACTCTGTAGACCAGGCTGGCCTCAGAGACCCGCCTGCCTCTGCCTCCCCCATGCTGGGATTAAAGGCGTGCGCCACCACCGCCCAGCCATCTTATAAGTTTTTTGACACATGATTCTGTGTGTGTGTTGCTTTTTTATTTGCAGCGCTCGCTGTGGTGTCTAATACAGCAGCCAGGAGGGGCAGGAAGCTAGTGAGCAGTGGAAATGTGAGTAGACAAAACTGAGATGCTTCGTAGTCACACACACCAATTTGAAGCCTAAATACCACAAAAGATTCTCATCAATAAATTTATGTTAATGAGATGTTTACATAAGTTTTTAGATATCACAAAATCAGTGTAGCTTTTGTCACGTGGGTGTAAGCATTTAGGATTACTCGTGAAGTTTGTGTTCTACTCTGCTGATCAGTGCTGGGTTCCCAGAGATGTGCTGGAATTTATTATAAAATGTTAAGCAGGATGGAGTTTAACAGATTCCACTAGAGGCCTCCCTCTCGCCACGTTTTTTATGGGAGATAGCATCACTATGTCACTAACCCCGGGATGCTCCTGGCTTCATCGAAGACTTTCTTAACATGTTCAACCGTGTTTGAGCACAGTGGTCTGACCGTTTCAGGAATAGAAATGGGGTTGTAGTTATAGGAAAACCAGTGTCTGTCCTGTAGGCACTGGCTGCTTCCCACCGTCTCCAGACGCAGACTTTGCAGCCTGTGCTCCACGTTGGGTCTTGTTCTCTCGTGTTGCACCGTGGTGGCTCTGCCAGGCTCCAGTGTTCTCTCCCGTGTGCTCATTATCAGTGCACATAGCTTAACACCGTGCTAGGGCTCGTGCTTTGCTCACCTGGAGTAGCGTGTTCAAGATCCACTCCCCTCGCTGTGTGCAAACCCAGCCTCTGAATTTCAGTGAAGATGTGAACTCCTTTCCTACACACCCACACCGCGCTCCCTTTCCCAGCCGTGTCTTTCCCTCATTCTCATGAGAGTAACCGGAGGCCGGGCTGCTCCGTTTTCTTTTTGTTGCTGTAGTCGGCTTCTCCTGCGGATGCTAAATTTACTCAAATTACCCAAGTGATAGAACACCCTCTTGGCTGTGTTCTCAGTCCCAGAAAAGCCTTCCTGCTCTTTTTGCATAGAATTGGGTTTTCTATTTTGGGTGGCATTGTTTCACCTGGGAGAGAGATGGTAGGGTATGCCTTAGCAGCTGCTGCTATTCCCAGGCTAGTCTTTTTCCAATTAAGGGGTCGCTCAGCCTGTCTGAATTCTGACCTCTGTGTATCAGTGCTAATCTTTGAAAGTTGCTCTACTAGTTCATCCGGCTTTAAGTCCTGTCTTCTGCCAGTCTTCTTAAGAGGTCTGGCTGTTTTTCTTTGGAATGTGTGTTGGCACCCATCTCGCAAAGGATGGGTTAAAAGGAATCGTTTCTTTGCTTACAGACATCGCGATGCTATGATTTTGTTGTTGTGCAGGCCTGGATCAGAACCCTGGATTTCCATGTATCCAGATGGCCTTGGACGACTCACACCACCCTCAAAGGGTTGAATGAGGGGTTGTAAAGCTCTCGTACACTTGAGTGGCCTCTGCGGTCACTGCTGCCACCATGTCCTTGAAACCTAGAATTGTCAGGATGATGGGGACTCTTTGAGAATTGGAAGAAAGTTTTCCATTGTGGATGGGCGAACTTTAAAGACTCTGCATTCAAGCTGCGATGGCAGAGGTGTCAGAAAAGGGTCTCTCAGTCTTCTCAAACAAAGCACTGTCAGATTTGAGATGCGACAGGATCGTGAGGCCACGTGGTTGGCTCTCACCCCTGAGGCCCCAGTCCCCAGCCTTACCCTTTTCCAGTCCTTTCTCCCCGTTGTGTCGGGCGGGGAGAGGTGTCACCACTGTCCAGTTTAGTCCACATGCGTGTGTCCAGTGCTTGCTGCTGTCCCAGGCCCTGCGCTGGGCTGCACGTGACAGGGAGTTCCTCAAAAGAGCGGGGACTTGAGGGGGGAAGCATTTTCTCCTTTCTTTTTCTTTGTTTTTTTTTGGGGGGGGAGGGTGGGTATTTCTTTTTTTTTTAAAGATTTATTATATATACACTGTTCTACCTGCATGTCAGAAGAGGGCGCCAGGTCTCATTATAGATGGTTGTGAGCCATCATGTGGTTGCTGGGAATTGAACTCAGGACCTCTGGAAGAGCAGTCAGTGCTCTTAACCTCTGAGCCATCTCTCCAGCCCAGGGGTATTTCTCTTTAAATATTTATTTTTATTTATGTAAGTGTTTTTGCCAGTACGTCTTTGTTACAAGCTTGCAGTACCCACGGAGGCCAGAAGAGGGCATCAGATTCCCCTGTATCAGGGTGCTGGGAATCAGCACGTGGGTGCGCCCTAAGAGTTGCAACTGTTCTTAGCAGCCAAAGCCACCTCTCCAGCCCCAGGGATTGTTTTTGAGGCAGAAGTCTGCTGTGTAGCCCCGGATGAGGTCACGCAGGTGAACCTCATACCTCATTCTTCTGAGTTCCAGGAGACAGGCTGTGGGACAGTGGCTTCAGCTGTCCCAGGAAGACAGAATCTGCAGAAAGGACACTGAGTCCCGGCGAGAGCTCTTGGTGGGGGTACTGGGGAGACATTTCATTATTTAGATGATACTGAAGAGTTTTCTTTTTCCCTCACTACCAGAATCTGCTGTGTTTCAGACTTGTGTATTTTTCTTTAGCCTTAATTAGAGACTACTCATAGTTGCTACCTCCCCTTGGAGTGCAGTCCCCCAGAACCCTCCTTTCACCAGCAGAGCTTCCCGAATTAGGTTCCCCCAGCAGCTACTAACACTCCCAGCATCCCATCTTCCAGAGCAAGGTAACGGACATAGAATGTAATCAATCCTGTTAATAAATTAGTGTCGCTTTTCTCTAGGGAGAAGGTTCTCATTGTGGAGCGCTTCTCAGGAAAGTCTTAGAGTCCCAACTAGAAACCTTCGTGGGCTGCTGGCGGTAGAGAGACTGAGAAGGCCCCAGTTCAGTGCCTGGCGTCACATAAAATCAGAATCCCAGCCGAGGGATTACAGCGGGGTGGGGAGTAGAGGCAGGAGGATGAAAGGGCAGAGGTCATTCTCAGCTGCACGGTCACTTGGAGTACAGCCGGGGTGGAGGCCCTGTTACAAACAAGCAAGCAGACCAGGGCCTCCACAGCCATTGGAGTTCGTGGGTTTCTTATGGACAGTGTCTATGCTAACGTTATCACCCTGTAAAACCAGCAGTGTTCACACTGCAGCTACCAAAAGGAACCTTTTCCTATCCATGTGCTCTCTTCTCTGTGTATTCCGGCCAGTAAGTGTTACTAGCCGTCCGCTGGGTACCAAGGAAAGTGATTAGTATCCAAGGTTAATGAAATGAGCAAGACCTGTGCCAAAATACAACGCTGTGTGCTGAGTGTTGTTAAGGAGAACACTTAGGAAGGAGAGGCCTGAGGTTTCAGAACAAGCAGTGTTGGCCCTGAACCAGCCGGGGTCACAGAGGAGGCTGAAAGAGAGAAACCGGTGTGTGTGTGTGTGCGCGCTGCGCGCTGCACGCTGCGCTCGCGTGCTGGGTGTGGGGGTGCTGGGCAGGGGGCATGGAGAAGTGCTCACCCAGCAGGGGTCACAGAGGAGGTTGAAAGAGAAACCCGGGTGTGTGGGTGTGTGGGTGTGTGTGCACGTGCGCTCGCTGGGCTTGGAGCGTGGAGAAGTGCTCACCCAGCCGGACTCCAAGCTGTGGGAACGGTGAGACCCAAAGTTGGGAACTGAAGCATGACTTCAGAGGATGAGTATTTGGGGTAGGAGCCAGGTGCGCACAGGATGTCCTGAAGACTAAAACAAGGAAGAAGCAAGGTTGGGACCAGACTGTAGTTGAAGTGAGTTAGAGCCAGAGATGGGGACCTCAAGGGAGTAATGGAGGGCAACAGGCAGAAGGGACTAGAGACTTGAGAGGCGCGATCGGAAGGAAGGCGGCCACGAAATCCCTTAGGGGAGGGCAGTGAGTCAGAAGCTAATGGAGGAAGGAGGTTTCAAGGTTTGTCCAGTGCTGGGCACAGGGTAAGGGAGATGATAATAGCCGTCTCCGTCCCCGGGAGCCGAGCACTGCCTCCTCCTCACAAAGCTGGAGCCAACAGGCGCACGGAGACGATTAAAGAGACGGAGGGAGATAGGCCAGAGTGTAGACCATCCCCAAGGAGGAGCGGATGTCAGGGCTGGCTCCAATGGGCAGGAAGCCCCGCGGAGCTCTCTAGAACAAAGGTTCATGGCCGATGGAGAAGCTGTCAAAGGTGACCAGACAGACAGGGAACTAGCATCACGCCCCATGCTGTGACCCCGTGCTTCTCAGAGTCGGGCACGTTTCAGTTCGGAATGGTCTCAGGATCTCTGATTCTCGAACCGTGTTCTCTGACCATGTCCCCGAGATGTCCCGATGACAAAGTGAAAACACTTTATCAAAGCCCTGGACGTGAGGGCCGATTGCCCACACTGGTTTAGAGTCATCCTGCAATGAGAGACTCTGTTGTTTGGAACTGGACTGACATTTGCCTTCTGCTCCTAAAATCTTTTAACGTGTTTTCTGCTACTGTTTTTGCTGTTATTGTTTCTAGAATCCTTTCCTGTTTCCAATAGAGAACTGTGCGACGATGAGAAGGAGTTTGTCCATTTCCCGGTGTGCGAGGGGACCTCACAGCCCGAACCTTCGTGTTCCGCCGCCGTCAGAGCCACAGCCAACAAGAACTACAGGAGCAAAACCGCTCAGGAAGGCGCTCTGAAAAAGATGCACGAGGAGGAGCACCACCAGCAAATGTCCATCCTCCAGCTGCAGCTGATCCAGATGAACGAGGTGCACGTGGCCAAGATCCAGCAGATCGAGCGCGAGTGCGAGATGGCGGAGGAGGAGCACAGGGTCAAGATGGAGGTCCTCAACAAGAAGAAGATGTACTGGGAGAGAAAGCTGCAGACTTTTACCAAGGAATGGCCCGTGTCCTCGTTTAACCGGCCCTTCCCCAACTCACCCTAGGATTGGGCGTGGCCCCCGGTAGTTAATCTGTGCTGGCAAGTTTGGGATGTGACCTTGGCGGTCGGTAGCCTATGACAGGCCTATGACTAGAGAGGTAGTAGTCACTTATTTAAGAATACGTTCAGGTAAAGAGCTGCACCCCGCGCCCCCCTCGAGTGGCCAAGAAGCTGTTACAGTCTCTGAAAAATCACCACTATGCGTGCTATAACTCTGAATGTAACCTTTCTTAATTAGAATTCATAGAAGAACCGTGTGTGAGTGTTTTTTATTTTAACAAAATGCAAGTGTGGTGGTACAGGAGCGTGGCTGGTGATTTCTACTTCATTTTTTAGGGTTTCTTTTTTTTCAGCTAACAGTGGGGCTTTTGCGCCCAGATAGATGTTAAGCCCTCCCACTTAGAGGCTGCCCTGCGTGGCTGATTCTCCACGTTCTTGGTGTCAAACTCTTGAGTGTGGATGTCTGGGAAGCCAGCCTTTAGAAGGGTATTTCCTAACAGGGCTCACAAACTGCCTTTTAAGGCTTTCCCCAAAGAGGCTTTCCAAGTAGTGTCTCCCACAGTGGTGGCTTTAGTAGAAGCAGAGACATCACTTTGAGGGTTTCATGTTCCTTTAGGTTCCTATGTCCTGTTTGTTTTACTAAAAACGTCCTAAAATGTTGTAGTTACACTGCGTATGTTTCTAAAGGTGCTGCCGGCCCAGCCCATATCCTGCCCCGCTTTTGACTACTGAGTGAGTGGTTGCCCTGACTCTGTGTCACCTCTGGCCTCCTTAGGAAAGGCCCTGCTCTCACTGTGCACATCAAGGTGTTAGCCAATGGTAATGCTGTATTGCTGGTGCTGCACTTCAGTCAGGATTAGGCTCTGTTAGGATCTGTTACCGACATATTTGGAGATATGGATGGATAAATGGGTGCTTCGATTGAGCTGAGAGGCTTCTGCTGTAGCCTAATGTTTAAAAAAAAAAAAACAAAAACCCACCAAAATGTTCCCTTTAGATCATTTTGAGTTGGGGGCAGAAGGAGCTGGAAGTGGCAGAGTGACACTTGAGTGCCCAGGCAGATGAGCAATTTCTGAGAATGAGACTCTGTACGGGGGAGCGGGAGTACCGTCAGGGCTGCTGTGCTAAGTGTGGTCCTGCCTGCTGTGTGACTGGCTAACGCCCTAACACCTTGGCCTGGTGCTTCCCGTCCACAGAACAAGGCATTGGGTCTACATACTCTTTAACTACGGTGTAGCCGGTGTGCATGCGGCTCACATCACGGTAGCCGGGGAGGGGGGGAGGGGCATGGGTCTGCACAGGGTAGTCTCCAGAACTGGCCAGGCCTTGGAATCTGGGGCCTGGGGCCTGTAAGGTTTTATAAGGTTCTCACAGACTCCCAGTTTGGGCACTGCATAATTATAACATAAGCAGGTATCAATTTTGTACATTGAATCTATTTTAAGTATTTTGGAGGAATTAGTCCATTATTTTAGATATATCCTGCAATGAGAGACTAGAAGTAGGATCCTTTCGATGAGGGTTTCTGTTCTTGGTTTTTATTAAATGGATCCTTTGGAGAGTGAGGGGTTTTAAAGTCTCAAGCTCAGATGGCGTGTGGAAGATAGAGATTGACTCCCTGAGTCAGGTACAGGACAGGGACAGAAAGTCTTTCAAGTCCCAGGTTGTGCCTGGTCTGCTCAACACATCTCTGAACGTCAGGACTTAAAGGGATCTTACCGAGTTTTGCATCTTTTGTATACAGTGGTGTGGTGGTTGTGCTTTTCTAAGAATTTATGACTTAAATTCACAAACAGCAACACAGAATAACCAAAATTTCCCCAAACCGTAGTGCATTTTAATTGGACTACAAAAGCATTGAACTAATTCATGACTGAACAAATACAGGATAATTAAGCCAGAGCCTAAAGCCCCCTTGCTGTACTGCTAATGGTATTTATGAGTTTACAATAGTGGTTTGCAATATTTGACTGTGTGTTAGAAATAATATTTTTAAATAATTAGTCCCACTGGTTCTCACTTCCAGTGGGTTCTGAGTCAGTTGACTTGGGGTGGGGCCTGATAGTATTTTTGGAAACTTTGTAGGTGATTATGATGCATAATTGAGATTGAGAACCACTCTGTGCAGAGTTCACAGATGTAGTTCTGTTGGTTCTTAATTCCACAAAGCCATGGAGAAGGAAGGAATTGATGATCAGAGAAGAACCCGTCTGGCACCAGGCCCGTAGCTAGTAAACAGCAAAAGAGGACTTTAGGCAGGACCTCTTGGTTCTGAAACACACAGCCCAACCTGCTGTCTATACCCTTTCTCTTGCAGCGCTGTCAACGGTTTGTTTTATGTTGAGACTGGATAATGTTACCGAGTGCTCGCCGAAGCATCTTCATTCATGAGCAAACACAGCACATCCCAATTCATTTTGCTCTTAAGCCTTTTATTACCTGAGGTAGAAAGGCAATAACCATTTCTTGACAGGGATTGTGGGGCAGATACATATGAAAAAATATTAAGATATGGTTCAACGTCATGGACATTGCCCAGGAGGGAGGGTGGGCTTGTAAGCGGCCGACTATGGATTTAACTGGTACACATCATCAAATGCTTTCTCAGTTGATGGAAAATGAGGAAAGGAATCACAGAGGGGTGGGGCTTGAATTGAGTCTTTAGAGCTGACATTTTTTTTGGCAGGTGGGGTTTGGAAAGCAGAACACATCACTAGATAACACGTAGATGGGAGAGAGAATTTTCAAATCGAATCAGAACTGTGTGCCAGGAGGAAAATTAGAAAATGGGACTGAGAGGGGAGGAGACTGGAGTTGGGGATTACAGATAGGAGGGTCTGACTTGGCGTGGGTGAGATGTCAGGGCCAGGAGGAGGTAGGAGACCAGGGCGAAGGGGAGACTCAGACGTGCTGGTTGTTTTTGTTGGAGAAGAGTGGAGGGTGTTCAAAGTTAGATTCATGGAGAATAATACGGATGACTGAAATGGACGGACAATGCAAATGCTCTCTGGGACATTTGACTTGTCCTAGAGGAGCCTAGGTACAGACGCTGGCACTTGTTCTCAGTGCTGAGTGCTCTGTCTCTGCAGTGACTTCCTCCTCTTCACCTGTCCTTGTTCCTCCCACCTCAGATACCTTTTCCATTGGGTCACACTAAGACAACCAGAGGTTCTTTGTTTTGTTTTTTCTTTTGTTTTAATGTAGTGGCCTCCGGTTTTTCTCTAGATAGTTGGCACCCACCAATTTGAGGTATATTTTGGTTTTGGGTTTTTTTTTTTAATGTCCCATGTTGCATAGAGAAATCCTGATTGAAAAAGGTTGGTGACTTCCATATATGAATATTACAACCCAGTGGGTCCATGATTTAGGAATGTTTCAAGGGTTTTGCCAGGACAATCTCTAAATGCATTTTCCTTTTGTTCCACTTCTGAAGAGTCTAGGAGGCAGAGATGACATGGCAGGAGAGTACATTTTAGTTGTCAACGGTCTCTGCAGTGTCAGGTCAATTACATCAGCACTTGGTCTAGACCAGGGGAAAGGAATGATTGTGCCTCCTGGGAATGTCACAAGGACCTGATAATTATGTTTGGCAAAGCTATGAGGAGTGGCTCTGTAATGTCATTGCTGAGAATTACCCTTTTGGTAGCATTTCAGGACGCCTGGGCTTTTCAGATGACTGGTACTCCATTTCTGCAGTGCCTTGCTTCCCACCGGGCTGTTTCCCAGGAGGTCCTCCTACTCCTCGGTGCCCCTGCTTCTCTGTTTGTATTTTCTCCTCCCCAAGCCCCGTTTCTCCAGCCCCTCCTGCCCTTATCTCAGTTTCCACTCTCCCATGCTAGAGGTGGAAGGTATGAGGATGCTGATGCTGGGGTGCTGATGATTCTGGGGTGCTGATGCTGGGGTGCTGATGCTGGGATGCTCGGAGGACTGCTCATTCAGCACCTGAGGTAGCCTCAGTCCATGCTTCCATGACTTGCTTCCAGGCTGCAGTTGCTACCTTTGTGTTCATGGGACTCAAAAGTCATGGGAAAGGTGACCAGGAACCTGTGACAGCAACAAATGCTTTCCCGATTGTGCCATATATTATGCTCTTCCACACAGTTTACTAATCTCTGCCTCAGTTTCTCCATCTGTGAAAGTGATGTAATACTTATCTACCTCCCTTGGATGTTGTGAAGATTAGTATGTGTTGGTAAAGCACTTTTGAAATAAAGAATGATACCAAGCATTTGACATTACTGTTGTCATGGATGCTCTGCTGTAGACAGGCTAGGCTGACCTATAGTGGAAGCCAGCGTTCACCATGCCCAGCTTACGCAGTACTGAGGAGGGAACTCGAGCCTTCTTACCTAATAGACAAACACTCTACCAACTGAGTTACATCCCCAGCCCCATGATTGTTTTCCTATGAAAATTTTCAAGATTGCATTTCTTTAAACAGTCCTCTGGTGCATTTAGAGTGCGATTCAATTCCTAGAAATGTGATTTATGAGTATTTTTAAAGGACACAGCTGTTGACTCTCCATTACTCAATACAGTTACAGGCTTACAATCTGGTTATTAGCTAACAGTGTAGTGTATCGTCATCAGCTAGGGTATGTTTGTGTGGAACTGGAGATCAAACCCAGAGCCTCACACATACTAGGCAAGTGCCCTACCACTGATCCACACTCCAGCCCTACATGGAAGCACAGATGCTCACACTATCCAAAAGCCCAGCCCATGAGTGAAAGGTCAGTATCACTGTGAATGGACACGACAGGTAATCCCAGGGCATGTGATCCAGACCTCTAGTTCTGCTGGCAAAATGTCTGAAATACTGCAGTGTCGATTGGGGCAACCACGTATATTTACCAAGGGAATGGTAGTTCTCCAGCCATTAATTTACCAAGGGAATGGTAGGAGTTCTCCAGCCATTAATCTGGACTACATTTTTAAAATGTCTGCTAAGATACTAAGTTCTGGTCTGAGTTTCCTCTTCTGTAGGCTTGCTGGGAGGAGGGGTGTTGAAATCCTGTTATTTAAAAGGCTGATTCTCTTTAATCAAAAGGATATATACAGCCTGGCTCACACCTTTGTGACTCTTAACTTGTGGGAGGCAGAGACAGGAGAAGTCTGAGTTCAAGATCACCCCCAACTACATAGCAAGTTTGAGGCCAGCAAGTTGAGGGCTGAAGAGATGGCTCAGAGGTTAAGAGCACTGGCTGTTCTTCCAGAGGTCCTGAGTTCAATTCCCAGCAACCACATGGTGGCTCACAGCCATCTATAATGAAATCTGGTGCCCTCTTCTGTCATAAGGGCATACATGCAGGCAAAACACTGTGTACATAATAAATAAATAAATAAAATCTTTTTAAAAAGACCCCATCTACCCCCCTCAAAAAAAAACCCTTCAAAACACCCAAACCAATGTTCTTGTTGTAGTGGGAATAGGAAACGCTGTGAATTAGTGGCGCAAGGTGTCTCATCGTCTAGTTCAGTGACCAGGACAACCAAGAAGGGAAAACGGGCTGGTGCTCTGCTTGTAAGGCCAAGAGGAACCTAGATTTTCCAGGGATGGAGCACAAAGCTGGAATTCTGTGCCTTCCTTGCATGTTAAACATGCACTCTGCCATTAAGCTACACCCTCAGTCTCTGGATCTAGATTATTCATTTTTATTGTATGTGCATTGGTGTTTTGCCTTCCTTCATGTCTGTGTGAGGGTGCCAGATGCCCTGGAACTGGAGTTACAGACAATTGTGAACTGCCTTGTGAGTGCTGAGAATTGAACCTGGGTCCTCTGGAAAAGCAGCCGTGCTCTTAACTACCGAGCCATCCCTCCAGCCTCTGAATCTAGATTCTTATCTACAAGTCTCCAAATATTACTGGAATGTGCTGGTATTACAAGTTCTGCAGGATTGGGAGTCAGTTAATTCAGTCACTCAACCACCTAACACCTAGGGAGGTGTGGATCTGTGTCCTGTGGTCTCCAGGATCTCAGGCTAAATGATTTGTAGCTACTCAGGGATGTTAATCCCAGGGCAGAAGTGCACAGCTGCAGAATAGTCCATGTTCTGTTTGCTACTTCTGCTGTCCCTGGCCTATGCAGTTGACGTGGCTGAACCCAAAGTCAAGAGGGGAAGTAGATCCCTCCTCTGAAGGTAGAGGGAGGAGGTAAATATTTTTGAACAGTAGTTCAGTCTATCATCGTATTACATTGGAGAGGGGTGCCAGTGAGACATCAAGGAGTTGGGATTATGACGTAAACCAAGGAACAGAAAATCTGGTTGGAAACTGCGTCTCCCACCCTCCTCTACTGTCTTTGAGTTTTTTAGGGTGAGAGGACTGAAAATTGTAATAACAATACAACTTGTTTCGTTGGATTGTTCGTTTAAGGGTATGATACAGATCCCTTCACCAATAATGGGATAATATCCAGAAAGACTCATGGAAAGTAGAAGCTATCACAAGCTCAAGGTGTCATCATGGCCTCGGTGTTGCTGTCCAACGTTGCTAGACTAGAAAAAAAAAACGAGAAGTCAAAATCTGAAGTATAGAATGATAGTCAGGTTTGTACCATGACAAAGTAAAGACAACAGTAGTTGGAGGCTGGAGAAATGGCCCAGTGGTTAAGAGCATGTGCTGTGCCTACATCAGTTCTCAGCACCCTGGTCAGGTGACTTACCACCACCTAAACTCTTTCCCCTTCTTGTCTTCTTAGGTGCATACGCACACACAGACAGACATATTCACATAGACATAATTTAAAAAATAAATTAGAAGAAAAAGAGTTGAAGCATTGGGTCATGCATTGTGTATACATTTAGAAAAGTACCTGACATCTCTCTCATTCTGGACACATGGGGGAGGGCCTGGGCCCTGCCCCAGATGAAATGACAGACTCTGGAGATCCCCCATGGAGGGCCTCACCCTTCCTGGGGAGCGGAGTGGGGGTTGGGTGGGGGGTTGGGGGGCTGAAGAGAGGTGGGTGAGGAGGGGAGGGAGAGAGAGCTGGGATTGACATGTGAAGCAAGCTTGTTTCTAACTTAAATTTTAAAGAAAGAAAGAAAAGTACCTGACACATAATGAACTATAAACTTTAGTATATGTTTCCCATTGTGTATGGTTTCTACATGAAGAGTCAAACATTTGGACCCAAGGGTTCTGGCTCATACTTTTAAGATTCCTAGTACACAAAATTCCTATATTGGCCTTCAGTTCAAATCCGAGGCTTTGCAAAGAGCATTTACCTCCTGGTTATTATTTAATCACCTATAAATTCCTGCTCACAATTGCTATAGTGTTATATAAGATACTTGTATGGAATAGCCCTACAGATTGTAAAATCAAAGCTAAAAAAACACCCTACACCTCAGTTTTGATTTGTGTGTTCCAAGAGACACCAGGACCATCATCACCCACAATGATACTTTGTCTAGATTCTTTCCAGCCTCCTCACCAGGTGACACACACTGAACACAGTTATTCTGCTTTGCAGCAGGCTCTGTGGCATCACTCCTGTTGACCCCTCTCCCTAGGGTGCTCCCAGCCTCCCTGCACCCTCTAACACCTATGCTGCTGAAAGGATACCAATTCTTCAAGATCAACTAAATAGCAGGCCTAATTCTATAGATTCTTTTAGAGTTCTTCTATCTATAAGCTTTGTTCTCAGGCAACAATAGGCCAAGAATTGTAGATTTCTATATATTAAAAAATTCTTGAGGGCTAGGGAGATGATTCAATGGGCAAAGTGTTTTTGACAAAAACTTGAGGAACTGAGTGTATATCTCCAGAATCCACACAACAAGCTGTAACCCCGCTTGCATTAGTTACTTTTCTATTGCTCTGATAAAACACCATGGGCAAGGCAACTTGTAAAAGAGCTCATTTGGGCTTCTGGTTCCAGAGGGTTAGAGTCCATGATGGCAGAGTGGAGACCGCAGGCAGCAGGCATGGTAGCTAAAGCAGAAACTGAGCTCTCACATCGAACCACAAGCAGGAAACAAACTAGAAATGGTACATGTCTTTTGTAAGGACTCAGGCACTATGCTGGCCTGCCCCTGTCTCCTGGCAGAATGCACTCAGGCGGTGCCCTGGTCAGCCCAGGGTTCCATGGTTGCTTAGTCTACACGCAGGTGCAAAGGACCCTTTAAAAGAGAGACCCCACCCACTGACACTCTCGTTCTGCTCTTTCCCTCTCTCCTGAGGTTCCCCTGGGGCAGATAGGACTTTTCCTGTCTCCCACTTCTATTCTCTCCCGCTTCTCTTCCGTCTCCCCCCCTCTCCCTCTCTCCTCTCTCTCTGTCTCTGTGTGTGTGTGTGTGTGTCTTTACCTCCTTTCTCTTTCCTTCCCCCTTCCCTCCTCTTTCTAATAAAACTTCTCACTTAAAGCTTTGTCTGCCTGGCATGTTTGTCCCTCCCCTCAGTCATTCTCTCCCACCATGGAATCCGCCAAGGTCCCCCTCCCTTTATGATGTCATCTTTAAGTTCTCAAAGCCACAACCCTGACCCTCCCCTAACAGCACCACTAACTAGTGACCAAGCGTTCAAATGGCCAAGGCTGAGGTAAGGATGCACACTTTTCACTCAAACACTGCACCAGTGCTGAAGGGATGAGGCCCGTTCCTGGAGCTCATTGACCAGTGAGCCTAGCTGAATTCTCTCTGTCTCTCTCTGTGTCTCCCTCTGTTTCTCTCTCTGTCTCTTTCTCTCTGTCTCTCTCTGTCTCTGTCTCTGTCTCTCTGTCTCTCTCTGTGTCTCCCTCTGTTTCTCTGTCTCTTTATCTCTGTCTCTCTCTGTTCTCTCTCTGTCTCTGTCTCTGTCTCTGTCTCTCTCTCTCTCTCTCTCTCTCTCTCACACACACACACACACACACCAAACTGGCCTGTGGACAAACCTGTAGGGCATTTTCTTGATTTCTTGATGGGTAGGTGGTCTTGGGCTGCACAGGAAATCAGGTGAGCCAGCTAGAAGGAGCAAGCCAGTAAGAAGTGTTTCTCTTTAGCCCTCTCTTCAATTTCCATATCCAGATTCCTACCTTGGGTTCCTGCACCAACTTTCATTTATGGTGATCCATGGTTGACATGTAAGCCAAATTAACCCTTCCCTCTTCAGGTTGCTTTTGTTCTTGGTGTTCTTTTACAACAATAGAAAGTAAACTAGGATGTATGTACATACACACATGCATATACTACACTACACATACACACACACACAAGCACACATAGGAATGAAATACACTTATAAACACACA